CAAAAGTGGGAGCTTCCCCAAGGATCACAACACCCAAACACTTCATGGGAAGCCCAACTCTCACAAGTGGTCTCTAACGCCGAATCTCGAGGATTGTGGAAACAGATTGTTGTGGGTGGATGCTGCAAGGCAAGCCACGCTGACATTGCTCGGCTCCGAACTGCAGTAGAAGGCCTATCTCGGTAGAAAAAAAGAGGACCAACATTTCTTGACCGGCTTCCACCTCCGACTCCGACTCCGTTCTCGGCGTTCGGTACCGTGCCGAACGCCTCTCTCCCGGCCCTCCGAGATCGACCGCCGCCGGCCTGGTTGTACCATGCACCATGCACCTTGCACCATGCTCCAAAGCAAAAAAAAGACGTATCCCAAAAGGAAGCCCTCTATCCGGTGGTATCGCTGCCCAATGCAAAAGAGGGAGTCTCCCCTCTAGTGGCCAGTACGGCCAAAGCAAAAGAAAAAAAAAGAAAAGGCATTTCATGTCATCATTCCAAGTTGTCTTTTTTCCCTCATTTCTTCCAACCTTGTCTCGTTGTTATCGCTTGGGCTTTCCAGTCGTCGAAGCGCTTCTGTCTCTTTTGCTGTTCCTTCTCGTTCCACGCCGCGATCGGCTGGATGGGTAGCCTGGCGAGCATCTCGTCCAGGTCGAAATGACGTCTGAGTTCGCCGTTGACGCGGATCTGAATGGTCCCGATGCCTTCGTACAGGGCGGCGCCGAAGTCGGCCCAATCACGATACATGGATAGGAGACCTCCGATCTGGCAGCACATGAAGAAAGCCAGCTTCTCGGCCGGGATGAGGTGCTCCTTGCCTTGTGGCGGACGGGGCCAAGTGATCCCTCGGCTCTCTCGCTTTTCCGCGTCCATGACCATGGTGGTGAACCTTTCAAACATGTCATGGGCGGGCGGCCGCGGTGCACCGCCGGAGACGAGCCGATCGTGCTTCTGGCCAGGGGGCGGTGGCAGAACGTCGAGCACGAGGTTCTTGATGGTGAATTTTGCCGGGTCGGCGACGATACTACTGAAGGCGGTCGGGCCATACTGCAAATACCCAGACAGCATGGCGTAGAAATTCCAGACGATGAAGGGCGGACCGCCGCTACCGCCTCGAAACTGTTCCTCGTTCTTCCAGTCAGGGTTGACATCGGAGGGGGGGTCGAAAATTCGAAATTGGACTCGGACGCTGTCGGCATGGCGGGTCGCTCTTGGCACCGCGAGCCAAGTCGGCCACAAGCCACATTCTTTGACATACATTACATCGAGACGGCAATGCGTCCCCCTTGTCGCAAGCAGCGCCTTGGCTTCGGCGTGTATCTGTCGATTGACGAGGAATATGTTGGTGTTGGGGGAGCCGGAGGGCGGGGAGCGAACCTTCTTCTCAACCCAAATGTCGTGGCCATCGAAAAAACCTTTGCCCTTGTACTCGCGCCTCTTGCGGTCCTGGCTGACTGAGGGATTGGGCGGCGGTTGGCGGTCGGGAAGGAAGATGCATTCGCCGAGGATCAAGTCGCGAATTTCCCGCGGGATGCTGAGCAAACCGACGACCATGTTTGTTGTTGTGATGTTGTGCGATTTTGATGTTTGCTGCAAAAAAGGGAATTTGCCTATACAAACGCAACCGCACAACTGGAGAGACGAACAGACACTTTGGGTGAGAGTGTCGCACAGAGAGGGGGTGAGCAGTGGGCAGTGGTGGTGGGCAGGGAACAGGACTAATCGACAGAAATTCGATGGGGTCGGGTGGCAACGGCGGGCAGCAAATGGAAACAGATGGGATGCAGGAAGAACAGCAGTCTGGAAGCCAACGACGACTGACTGGCTGGCTAGTACAAAGGTATAGTACAAAGGTACGGTGACCCTGACTGACCTACTGACTACCAGGTATCACCTGCAGCAGCAAGCAGCAGGGCAGCCAAAAAGAAGGTCGAGTCGTGGAGGGCGAAAATTTACTCGAAAAAGGCACCACAGAAAAGTCGGGGTTCGAGGTCGAGTGAGGCGCAGCACGCAGCTCGCAGCGGCAGCGGAGTCGGCCCTTTGACCAACGACGTCATTCGATGGTGCGAAGGCGGGCCAAGAGGAGGAGAAAAAAAAAAGAGGAAGTTGGGGAGAATTTCGAGGAGCCGACGAGAGACCAAAAAAGCCGGATACCAAATCAACAAAAAAGGCGCGATGAAAGTCAAAAAGTAATGGGGAATTTTCGGATACCTGGACACGACAGGAGACGGTAGACGGGAACGGGAGGATGGCTGACGGATGGGGTGGGCCGGGTAAGGTATTGTGTGTGTGCGTGTCGGTGTCGGTGTTGTGCACGAGGCCATCTACCAGTTCCCAGGAATTATCTGGGAGAGGGGATCGGATAAATGGGCTGCCATGCGATGCGTGTTGTAGTAAGTTGCAGCGCCACTGACTGACTAATTGTGAGATGCAGGGCAACTTCTTTCTTTCGTTCTGGATTTGAGTTTTTGGGTGCTGCTTCGTGCTGCTTCTTTCGCGCTGAAAAAGTTGATGGCGAAGAGGGCGAGGTTGCGTACGCGCGAGTGCGTGTGCGTGCTTGTGCTTTTGCTTGATTCAGCTTGGGTTCTTTTGCTCCAGGGAGTGCAGCTGTAAGTAAGTAAGGTAAGGTAAATGTAGGTCAACTCGGTCTGGAGCGCGCCGAGCTGACCATATGGGAGAAATGTCAATGGATGATGGATGATGCTACGCCTCACTCGAGCCCATGTCCATGCGACTGACTGACTGATGAACTGTCTACCTAATTCCAAGTAATTACCTACTACAAAGCAAAGCGGCAGCAAGAGAAGAGAGAGCATTGACCGACGGGCCAGACGTAAAGAGTTGTGGCCCGTGGCGCGGAACCAGAGTCATCGGTAGCCTCCCCGTTAGCTCCCCGAGACAGACACAGACAGAAACAGGAACAAAAGAAATTTTGGGAAATAAAAATAAATAAAAATCATACACCAGTGCCAGTACCAGTCCAGTTCAGTCCAGTCAGTCTCCAGTGAGTGAGTGAATAGTGGCCAGTCATCAAAGGAGAAACCGGGAGCGGAGCGAGTGCGTGCGGGCGTTTCTGCGGTGTGTGGTTGTCAAATGCAGTGCAGTGCCGTACCTTTTACCCCATATCTTCTCGTCTCTCCATCCGGAAGAGAGGGGGGAAAGCCCATGACTGGATGGGGGGATGGATCGGGGATCCATTACGCTGCTGCTGATGCAGAAACCAGCGGCCGGACTGACTAAGAGCAAGAAAGAAAGGAAAAGAGAGAGACGGCCAGGCCCAAGCCAGTTTCTCTACTGTGAAGCTGCTGCGCCTCGGTGGTTGTTATATAGCGCTGCCTGTGAGTACGTAAGTATACTTGATGTATGTCTGCTTCAGTACGGCGTTCTACATCTGTGCCCGAATTTCTGCGTATGTAGGCGCATGTCTTGACCGGTTTGGGGTTGCTGATGGCTCATACTCGTGGCTGGGTTTGCTGGGCATCGGCATCCAGGGTTCTTGGTCCTGCTCTGTTCTGTCGGGTCCGTTCCCCCTCTCACTCACGCGAGCTGCCGAGGGTTTGCTCAGGGTTCTCTTGCCAGGCCCTGCTGCTGTTTCCTCTGCGTTGCCCGGGCTCTACGTAGTATGCATTTCTGATGGGGGATCCTCTGGCACACAGAATGGAGGATGGAGCCCCCGGGATCGGTAGCTGGTTGCTGAAGGGGGTTTAGTAAGAGGGATTTTGTGTCCGGGGCATGTGCTTCGTGCCGCCGCTGCTGGTGCTCGTGAGACGTGGAGACCATCCCCATCAGCCAAACCAACGGGCGCGGGCGCGACGATGAAGAGAACTGGGATGAGCCATGGTTGAGAAGCTGGAGGCCGCCTACGGACTGGGTCTACCGGCCTTGAACTTTTTTCTAACTCTCGCAGGACGCACTATCTTTGCAGTGAAGACCAGTTTTGGAGGGGGCGCGCGTAATGGGATCGACACTACCTTAGTCCAGCGGGTTTATCACTCACTCTCACTCTTACACCTCACTGGGGGGGGGGGGGGGGTTCCCAGTCTGAGGGAAATGCCGTTGATTGTGGTCAACGTCAAACGAAGCCAAATTAACAGCGCGAAAAAAAATAAACCCCCCATCCAAATTAAGCGCGGCCGAGGAGGGAACAGCACGAGTGCTCTATACTCCGTACGCAGTAGCTAGATTCTTTCCCCTTCCTTCCAGGGTTTCGGCGCCGACCAGTACACACACACTCCTGGGCAGCAGAATGAGAGTGAGAGTGAGAGTGAGAGCGAGAGCAACGGGGCAAGCCTGACTTCGGCTTGACAGGTTTTTTCTGTCTGCCCAGTGCAGTTATTACAATGATGAACGGGCACAGCCCCAGGCCCTAAAGTCGGCACTCACTACTGGCACATACGCAGGACGGAGTAGGGCGCGGCGGTGATTTGTATTGATTGGAGACTCTTCGTGGTCGATCGCCGGTCAGAGACCAGATTTGGGTGTATCTTGAGCGGCCGTTTTGGATCTCTCTCGTTTTCGCCTTTCTTTGAATGACTGAGGTGCAAATGCGGCAAGCATCGCCTTACGGTAGATGAACAATAAAGGCTTGGATATCGCAGGCGAGTGGCAGTGTAAGTACGTACACACTGATTTGCCATCGAGACATGTAAATCAGTTACCCAGTACTCAGTACGTCTCTATTTCGCTCTTCAAGTCGCGCCCGGGGGCTTGCTTCTGGTAGAAAGAACAAGAATAGAAGCAGGCATTGAACTAAATAACAAAGGAGTCGGCACATGGGAATGTAGGTAGGTAGGCGGCAAGCCAGGCCGGTTTAACAAGCGGCAGACTAACAGACCGCCGAAGAAGCGGGATGAGCTTGTTTGACGATGCGATGCGGCATCACCGCCTCTTTACTGTGGGAGAGCGCAATAAACAAGCATCGACGGATCATGGAAAGACGGGCTGGAGGGCAATGCGTGGTGGCCGCCGCAGCCTCTAGAAGTTGGCTATCGCCTCAGACACCTCACTGAGTTAGGGTGGCTCTGCTTCTCCAAATAATCTCCCCAAAAGTCGGCACATGCCGACTTCAAAGTGCTTGAAAATGTAAGATTGATGGCCGGCATGGGCGCCGGCGAAAGGGCCGGGTTGGATTTGGAGTGTGGTCCCGGGGGCTGTGGAGTCACACAAAGATGAGTTCGTGAAGAGCAAATGAGTATCCGTAATCCCTCGGGTATCCGTATCCCAGAGTGAACAGAAAAAGGCGCACAGCGAAGATGACGAGAGAAAAACATGAGGATAGCTAGCTTGAGCTGCACTGGAGCTGGCTCCTGGATACTCTCCAATTGGACAAATGACGCGACGCGGGATGTTGAAGCTGAGCAGACAAAATTTGGGGGTGAGGGAGGAGGACTGGATTCGGCATGCGTCTCGTCTTAGCTCCCCCAGCTTTCTTGTGTAACGAATGTCGCATTGGAATGTTGCGATCATGACTGGCACTTTGAAAGCAGCGACCTGGGCGCGCATCTGCAAGCTCAGAGACGAAAGAGGATGCAGCCAGGCCAGCCAGCCCTGAGCCAGCAGCTCTCTGGATGTGGGCATCCCGGACGCGGGCACCGCTAACTGCTTGCAGCAAACCGAGACATGGCCACTGTTTTCTCCACACCTCACAACTCACATTGCAGCGGCGGTCAGCTCCTGCGCTGTGCCTGTTCGGCCGGTCCCCCGTGGTGGTGGGTGGGTGGGTGTTACTGGTGATGGGAATGCGTTGTTGTTGGAGAAACGGTGAAAGAAGAAGCATGTCGAGCACTTGCACCAGAAGGGGACTGATGGATTGTGGCAGTGCCAGCGTAGCAAGCTCTCGAGTCTCCCCTCCTGCATTTCGTTCCTCTCTGATCGCCTTTCGACTGCTTTGCAGCGGCACTGCAGCAGTGTCTCTTGCATGTTCCCATATAGAACCTATAAGCCAGCGGCGGCAGACCGACAATCATCGGGAATGGAAACTTGTAGCGGGACCAATCTTGTTGGTTCTCTGCCCTCAATCTATCAAAGGTACTCGAGTAGCGAAGCTGGTAGCAAAGCTGGATTCAAGCTACACGGTAAGCTAGCTGAGAGGATCTCGAATGGACGGATGGATCGATGGTTCGGCCAGTGAGATGAGTGCAAAAGCTAGATGCAGGGCTGTAGAGGAGGGCAGACGGTAACGGGTTCTGCGGGCAAGGGAAGGGAGGGGCGTGAACGTGGACTCTCGAAGGGGGTAGGGGGTAGGGGGGCATTTGGAGGGTAAGGGGACCTTTCCTGTGTGTCTCAGTGAGTCTTGTCATGGACTACTCATGGCTCTGGGACTCGGGAGAGATGATGGAGGCCGAGGGAGGTCAAGAGACAAGAACAGAAACAAGAACAAGATCAGAGGATGGATCATGGACCAGGACGCACATGGGCGCGGGAGCCCTCTTCCTCCTCCTCCACACATCCTCTCCACAACCCGCACCAAAGCCAAGCCGAGTAATAAGTGGTCAGCATCGCCAACCTGGTCAACCATCTCTGGTCAGTGGAAGGTATCCATACCTACTCCGTCTCCGTAGTGTAACTGTCTATAGTACGGATCCAGGAAGGGCTAGGTAGGTAAATAAACCAAAGGACCAAGGGACCAAGGACCCAAGGCAAGGTAGAGGACGGGTATCGAGCGTAGTGCCGCGAGCACGGGGCAGGATGCGCCAAAACCTTGATTGGTTGTCACTGGCAAAGTCCTTTGAGAGCCTCTCTTGCGCCAAGAGATACTTGGATATCCAACTCTCAAGACTTCACCAACGTGTAATTTCGCATCAACGCCTCCAACCCTTTCTATGAGCGATTTATCACCCTCAATACTTGCACCCTTTTCCCTCCTTTCATTAACTTTTTCAACCAGGCCCGCTGTTTACCTACCATAGCCGCTCTCTTTCAGTTCTGCGGCTCCCATTTTTATTTTATTTTTCCTTTTCCCGTTCTAAACGCCCTCCCCCCCCCCTAGCCAGACAACCAACCATCCCCCGTCCACCTCATCATCGTCTCCTCCAAAGCGCAACCGAGCTTCCTCCTGGCAGTGCCCTTCTCCCCCTTGGTCCTTGGTGCGGCCGCACGCAACGTTGTTTCTGTGACACGCCTCTCGCTCTTGATTTGGACACCTCTCGTCTGCTCGCTGGCCCTGCTCATTTCAAAACAGCCCGGCCTGGCTTAGCCGCGCCGGAGCAAAAAACAAAAAAATCTTGCGCATGAGGCATGAGATTCCCGTGTCCCCGTAGGCTGTCAGACTTGTCGGCCACAGTACGCTCGGCACGTTGGATTCTCAGTGCCATTTCACCGCCTCCTGGCGCCGTAGATACAACCGCCGTCCAACCTCCATCCTTCTTCGCACGTCGCCCGTCGGCTCTGCTTGTCGAGTCGTTCGTCTAGTGCTCCGTAAGAGTAGTTGCTGATGTTGCCTTTAACGGCCAGGTCTTGGCCCTTGGGGCCTTGTTCCTGTTTGTCATTGCTCACCACATTCGTGCTCGTCTCCTCGCCCATGCCTTGTCTTGTCTCTTGTATCGTCTGCCCTGAACTGGGGAACGCGACTTGTGAACTTGCACCCCCATTCCCTCCTCCTTCTCTTGACTATACGCCCTGCCCATCCCATCCCATCCCATCCAACCGACTCCTCGGGAGTTAGAAGAAAAAGCCGCTCGCTTGGTGTTTCCCGTGTCTCCCCCCCTCCCTTTCCTGCGACCAAAACAGGCTCTTATTGTGTTCCTCTTACTTGACACCATCCCAAGTCGATCCAAGTCAAGCAAAGCGTCGAGTCCCAGCCCATGCCATGTGATGGAATAAATGCGGATGCCGCAATCTCCGCAATGGCGGTGCGGCGTGTACGGTACCGTACCTTTTAGGAGAGGCTGATTGTCTCTCGTAAACATTTGCATACACAAATGCCAAGAGCTCATGATAGACATGAGGGTTAAGACGGATACCCTCTTCTGGACTTCCCGTCCCGTCTATTGTCTCGTGGCCCTGCCTTGTCCATTTCGTATATAAGACCCTGAATGTTTTGCAGGACGTTGCAGTGCAGATCTGCTCACAGACTCGCTCACTTTTCACTTCCCTTCCTTTTCTCCCTCTCCTCTGAGTGAGGCCTCCCTCCTATTGTTGTCGTTGTTACTCTGAGCTGTCCTGACAACCCGGAAAACCCTATTCTACCCTACCCTTATTCTTATCTTGAGATCACGTTGCACAAAACTTGCCCACCCGAAAGAAAAACACCGCATAGAAAAAATGGACGACGAATCTGAGCTCAAACACCAGAAGGAGGCGGCCGGAGACCGCATTCGCTGGGACGCCGACGAGGAGGCCGGCAGGAAGGCTCACCGCTCTAACGCTGATCCGGCTCTTCATCATGCCCGGTCAAACACGTCAATGTCTATACACTCCGTCCGGTCGAGACGCAACTCCATTGACGCTGCTGCTGAGCTTCCTATCCAGTACCGCACGGTGTAAGTGTGGAACAACATGCGACAAATCAATGACAAGAAATGCCTCATCAACATCTTTCTCTCGGCTAACAACCCTCTTCGAAAAGTTCCTTTGAAATTGAAGAGTACAAGACAAAGACTGAAGCCGTCAAGAAGGCCAAAAACGTCGCAACAGGTTCGTGAAGCAGTCTAAAAAAGCCCTCGTCTTGATCTATTGTGTTTCGAAATCGACGTGAACTACAGCGACTAATACCATCTGCATCTCTGCAGAACTCTCGGAACTCGAATGGCACACCCTCTCCGTCGACGAGCTTCTCAGACGCCAGTCGTCCTCCCTCGCCGACGGCCTATCCGCGGACCAAGTCCAGCGCCGCACAGCACACTATGGCAAGAACGCCCCCTCGCCGGCCCCGACAAACCACACAAAACGCATTCTCGGATACTTCTTCAAGGGCTTCGGTACAGTTCTCCTCGTGGCTTCCATCCTCGTCTTCATCGCATGGAAGCCCCTGGGAAGCCCGCCCGCCGTGGCTAACTTGGCGCTGGCCATCGTGCTGCTTGCCGTCTTCTTCATCCAGGCTGCCTTTAACATGTGGCAGGACTGGTCTTCTTCGCGCGTGATGAACTCCATCAAGACTATGTTGCCTGAGAACTGCATGGTTATTCGTGATGGCAACCAGGTTGAGCTCATGGCTGAGAACATTGTCCCTGGTGACATTCTCATTGTCAAGTCAGGCAACAAATTGCCTGCTGATGTGCGTTTCCTCAAGGTCTCTTCGGACGCAAAGTTTGACAGAGCCATCTTGACTGGTAAGTTATTTTCTTCTTGTGGCTTTCGTTAAATTAGGCACTGGTGGTCCAGAGGTTCCCTTTCATTCTGACGTTGGGAAACATCACTGACAAAGTACAAAACAACAGGAGAGTCTGTCCCTTTGCCCGCTTCGGTTGACTCGACCGATAACAACTACCTCGAGACTCGATGCATCGGTCTTCAGGGCACACATTGTGTCTCGGGCACTTGCACTGGTGTTGTCGTGGCCACCGGTGACAACACTATTTTCGGACGCATCGCCAAGCTGACCAACGAGCCCAAAAAGGGGTTGACAACTCTGGAACGCGAAGTTCTGCACTTTGTGTTGATCATCTGCTCCATCATGTTCCTCATGATTGTGCTTGTTTTGATTGTTTGGTATGCCATCAGGCCAGATACATGTTTTTTTTTGTACAAAAAGTAAACGCTAACTCCTAATTTCCATTGACAGGGGTGCATGGCTTAGGAAACAGTATCCTAACTGGATCAACGTTCCCAATTTGATCATCTCTTGCGTCTCTGTCGCTGTGGCATTCATTCCTGAGGGTTTGCCTGTTGCTTTGACGGCCAGCATGACCATCAGCGCCAACATGATGCGGAAGAACAAGATTCTGTGCAAGTCGCTCAAGACTGTCGAAACACTTGGTTCTGTCTCGATTATTTGTTCCGATAAGACGGGTACACTGACCCAGGTAAGTTGCATAATTATCCATACCTAGTTCGTTATAGTATGGGAACTAACCAATCACCTTGCAGAACAAGATGATTGTGACCGAGTGTGCCATCGGTACCATGAAGATGACGGCCGACGGTGCCCGGGACAAGATCGCAGTCGACAGACACAACCACCCCAATAACAACTCCTTGGAGCAGCTTCGTGCGCTCGCTGGTCTCTGCAACGCCGGCCAGTTCGATGCCGCGACCGTCCGCTTGCCGCTCCACGAGCGCGTCATCCACGGTGATGCCACGGACCAGGCCATCCTGCGCTTCTCTGAGAGCCTGGGGCAGACCGCTGAGCTGCGCCGTTGCTGGCAGACAAAGTACGAACTTGCCTTCAACAGCAAGAACAAGTACATGATTCGCGTTCTCGGCATGTCACACCCTGATGGACTGTCGCTTGCTTTGCCTTCCGATACTGCTTCAGTCTTCCAGCCGGGCGATGTGTAAGTTTCCACGTCGAACAGGATTTCAAACAAAGGGCATAATCTAACAGTGCAACCAGCTTGTTGACCATTAAGGGTGCTCCTGATGTGCTCATGCCGCGACTGAGCAACTACGTTAACCCTGCCGGATACACTACCGCTCTGGACCCTTCAACTCGTGCATCCATCGAGCAGATCAAGGACGAATGGTCAGCTCAGGGGCGTCGTGTGCTGTTGCTCGCTCGCAAGGCCATCTCAAGATCTGCTCTCAAGGGTCACCCGTCTGACAGCGCGTACGAGATGGAAATCAATAACCAGGCGAAATCCGGTCTTACGCTCGTCGGTCTTGTCGGAATTGTCGATCCTCCTCGTCCCGAGATCCCCGAGGTTATGAACACCCTCCGTGGCGCAGGCATCCGCATCTTCATGGTAAGCTTCTCCCGGTACTCTGCACTTCTAGGTTACGCAGAAGACTAACAACGTGTAGGTTACTGGTGACTTCGCTCTTACTGCCCAGGCCATCGCAGCCGAATGCAACATTATCAGTGTTCCTCGCTCGCAAGTCGACGACATCTCGGCTCTCCAACGCATCAACCACGTCGACCCCTCGATCAAACACATCGTGGACGACCTCGAGTCCTCCCCGCGTCAAGCCCTCGTCCTCTCCGGCCCCGAGTTGATGACCCTCAACGAAGAGCAGTGGGACCAGCTGGCTCGATACCAAGAAATCGTCTTCGCCCGTACGACGCCGGAGCAGAAACTCCGCATCGTCCGCGAACTCCAGTCCCGTCACGAGATCGTAGGCATGACCGGTGACGGCGTCAACGATGCACCCTCTCTTCGCGCCGCTGATGTCGGTATCGCCCTCGGTTCCGGAAGCGATATTGCCATCGAGGCCGCCGACATGGTTCTGCTTGACTCCTTCTCCAGCGTCGTCGAGGCCCTGCGGTATGGACGCATGATGTTTGACAACCTCAAGAAGACCGTCGCCTACCTCCTCCCGGCTGGTAGTTTCTCCGAGTTCTGGCCCGTCATGACCAACGTTCTCTTCGGCATTCCCCAGATCCTCAGCAGTTTCCTCATGATCATCATCTGTCTCTTCACCGACGCCGCCGCCGCCATCGCCATGGCCTACGAGGCGCCCGAGGCCGACGTGCTTCTTCGCAAGCCTCGTGTGCCCGGAAAGGACCGCCTCGTTGATTGGCAGCTCGTCGTACAGTCTTACGGCCTGGTGGGTGTCTTGGAGACCCTGTCTTCGTTTGCCATGTCCTACTGGTACCTGGAGCGGAACGGCATCAAGTTCAGCGATATCTGGTTCTCCTTTGGCAACTTGCCGTCATCGATCGACCCAGACTACTATCAGCAGAAGCTCAATGTCGCCAGTTCAATCTACTTTGTCAACCTTGTCGTCATGCAGTGGTTCAACCTCCTAGCCATCCGCACCCGTCGGTTGTCGCTGTTCCAGCACCCGCCCATCGGCAACAAGCGCACGCAGAATTTGTACCTCTTCCCCGCCATTATCTTTGCGCTCCTGATGGCCATCTTCTGGCTGTACGTTCCTGAGTTCCAGGCGACGCTCGCCACGGCCCCTGTCCCTGTCGAGTACTGGTTCCTGCCGATGACTTTTGGTCTGGGTATTCTTCTCATTGACGAGGCGAGAAAGTTTGCTGTGCGGAAGTGGCCTACGGGTATCATTGCAAAGTGTGCGTGGTAGATGTAGATATCGGCGTTGGATTCGGAGGCTTGGGTCGGGGATCGTCTACTGCAAAGGAAATACCCCTGGGCTGAAGGTTCTTCCTAGTGGGTGTCAAAGGGAAGGCATATTGATGTAATATTGTTTTTCCATACAGCAAGCGAGCCAGCGTTGACTCTGCAAGCGAATTTTGTATCTTTTTGTGTCAAAATTAATATGACGTTTTGCGCCTGTCTTAGATCCCGTCGCTCAATAACCAATGTTGAGAACCGTCTTCACACATATTTCAACACCTATAGCTTGAGGTGTGAGTAGTCAGGACACCATGCAAAATGATATTGGCAGCCAATACCATGGCGCTGCTGGAGATGCAGTAAATATCTCTAATATCACATCGTCACGTCGTCCACGAGACGATATTGGATAATTTACAATCGGCCCATATGGTCAGCCTTCCTCAAGGCCTTGATCATGTCACAAAAAGCGGGCTCACTCAATGTGGGCAGCATTAACCACATCCATATCTTGTGACAGATCAAGACCTAATCGTAATTCTTGCCGTTCACGCATAGCGGTCACCTTTTCACACCTCATCTCTTCTTTGGATATTTCAATTTCCATCCATGATCAGCGGAATTGGGCATTTATAGCTTAGCTCTGAAAGAGCACCTTTTGATGCATGAGTCTACAGGGGCCACAGGACGTGCCACTGTCGAAATCCAGGCATTGCAATCATCTTTCTTTTCCCAGTGGATGACGAGCTGTTCGGAATTCTACCATACGACCAGACTTTTGAGTAGGAAGATGTCATTCTAGCGCAGTTTGGGTCGCTCAAGGTTCAAGACGAGCTGTGGTGTCGTTTGCAATTGAGTTCTGTCCTGCCAATAATCCGGAACTTCTGAAGAAGGTTCGTCCTATCGGTGGTAGTCAATCAATAAGTGCCTCTGTAAGCTCCGGTACTTATTGCGTTTCAAGTGGGTTAGATCCGGCAATGATTCCTGAATTCCAACCTGTCGCTTGATAGTTGCGGCTATAAGATGTTGAGCGAGGTTTGACCTCAAGCCGAATTCTTCCGAATTGTTCTGGAAGATGATCAGATTGAGTGAGTTGCAGCCTCCGCGCGGCCGCTGATGACAGTGCGTCGCTAGCTGAAGCATTGCATCTTGGAGTTACGAGTTGTTGCCGCTTCTGGAAAGGCTGCCTTTCGAACCGAGCGACCCCGACCTTGGCATACGGCGCCGATCTATAGGCGATCTTGGCGACGCAGGCCTGGCACGCCTAGCGACTGGGATGAGGTAGATGGCGTAGACTTGACACGGACATTGCTGACGCGCTGTCGAACCAGCGTGAATCTTTCCCGTCTGCATTTACGAGCGACTTTGATGTACAGCGGTTTCGTGAAGCTCGTGCCAGATAACGTCAGCACTAAATCAATCCTTCGTGAGGGACAAATTGTACGTGTCACACGTTCTGAGCGTTCAAACTAAAGTGCCTCCTATGGCTATGGCCGTTGATCAAGTAGATTTAGCCAGTAGCAAGTAAATCCTTCAACCCCAGACAAAGCAAGGATGGGATGAAGGAAATATAAAGCCGCCGTCAATGCACTTTGGAATTTTCTAGTCTGCGAAAAGGTACCCAGAACTATTTGAAACCCCACGCCACCGCCCGGATGAAGTCTCCGAGTTTATTTCGTGCTGCCTTCAACCCGTTCGAGGCGCCCAACGACACGGCAGGAAACCTGCAGGGAACTGGATTTCGACCCACAATCATGGGTTCAAGTTGGGCACGCATCAACAACGGCTGGGACGCAGCAGAGCTGCTCTTTGAGAAGCACCACGTCTTTCTCGAAATCTTCTGGATTTCGAGCACGTACCTGCGTTTTCTAGTCCCAAGTTGGAGGAAGGTTTCGACGCCGACTCATGCAAAGTATACGGCGCTGCCATGGATTCCTCTCATGATCCATGTCATTCTCGGGACCATCGAGCTGGCCCGATACTACTACCCTCTCGTCATCACCGGTGAACCTCCAGTGCCAAACTTGATCGACCTCGTTCTAGGACTGGCTTTCTCGGCCGGAAGCTTCCATCTGGCTGGGTATGTCCGCGAGGGGAATATTCCCTTCATTAGAGCCACGTTCCAGGCAACGTCTTTCCAGCGCGCGCTCGCCTCCACGTTGGGGTACGTGCATGGTGACGCGCAGTGGCACCGAGCGTCCATCAAGCTGCTGAACAACTTCACTTGGGTCCGATGGCTCTCCACGTTCGGGAAGCATCTCCAGGGATTCAGAACGTACGGGGAAACCTTTACGGCCACCGTGGTCATGGCTCACCCGCTTTCTTTGTGGGAGGGAGACTACCCCGCGGGGATTCCTCTCTATGCCTCCATCGTGCTCGCGTTGCTGGCCGTCGACAAGTGGGCATCACGAAAACTAGACGGAAAGTGAGTTGCGCTAGAAGACCGGACGATCCAATACCGCCGTCCGAAAATGTGGTTTTTGGGCTGACCTGAACGTCACAGACCAGGGTTCGTCCCCCGCGTTCTCGCGCATTGCGGACTTGTCACCGTGAAGAAAGCGTATTTCGAAACATCGACGTCTGGGGAAAAGCTGGAGTAGCTTGGTTGCGCGAACATGAGTGTTGGAGGTTGGAAGAAGGAAGCTTTCTGGGCACGTCACGGATTCCGCGAAAGGTTTTGCTTTCGGCTGCACCCATTACAGATACGCACGCCTAGATTCATCACGGAACAGGGTGGAACCATGGCTCGCAATTGACACATTGTTTACAGTCACATCAGACTGATTACTTACTCACAGAATTCAACGTTTCAAGTTCTCAGACTCTTGGCTGCTCCTTGTTGAGTAACGTGGTCGTAAAGAGTTTGCAATGAGTATTGGCAAAACAGTCACAAGAGAGCCGCAACCGCAGGAACAATGTGGACTCGGTAAACCTCCGAAGCGCGGATGGATCACCGAATCTCGCATGCAGGTTACGGACCCAATCCCAAGTGCCGCAGCTAGTGGTCATACACCTGCATTGGGCAACGCTCGCCGTGAAAAGGGAGAGCGAAGCCGATCGGCTCGTCGCATTCGTAGCGAGTGCCGTCACCCGCCAGGGTCCGGCCGGCGAGGTAAGGAACACGAGGGCCGTCCTGAGACTTATATGCTTCCAAGATTCCACACCGCACCAATGGCCCCTTTCCATACATGAGATCTGATCGAAGGGGAAGGGAGAGGAAACGGGCGCGGGCCTTATGCCGTTATCTTATTGCGCGCCTTCTAGAAGGCATAGCGCGTCTTACTAAGTTACGCCGTGTATTACGCCGTCGTCACTATCCCCGTTCGCGCCGTGTTCTCAGAGGCCGCGAGTCAGCAAGCCGTTCGTGACGTGGGGGTCTTTTCGGTTCGCACATCCACTGATAGTGGTCCTTTTGGTCAACTCTTGGCCTACGTTGGGGCCTTGGCATCGCATGCTGCCGTCTTGGCTGCTGTTGCTTAATTTTCGCCGCATTGCATGGCATCGTTATCAGTGCTGGGCGGATCATCTTCAACGGTTCAATCGTTCAACGACACTTCAACAGAAGCGCCGTGTGTTTGTAGGTGGATCCCTTTTCCCACAATCCATACACCGAACCATCCATTGCATCCGTAGTATTCTAAGGCCTGCATCTAGGCTCGTACGACCAAGCTTCTTTGGCTTTTTCTGCCCCCCTTAGCCGCCATGTACCATAGGCCGGTTCCGCAGCTTGCTTGCTGGATGGTGGGAGGGATTTAAGCAGCAAGGCGGGACCTGGAAGGGTCGTCATGAGCGAAGGCGGCGAATAGGTGGAACGACAATTCGTCTGAGCGTCTCCACGGGGGAGGTGTGATGAAGCTATCGCCCTCAAGGAAACGGGACGGGTGTGCCTGGCTCGGTCGACTTCCGTCCTAGCCCTGGCCGAGTCAACCGGGCCACGCACAACGGAGCGTAGTCGGCATTGACGACACAGGAAGGCCCGCCGTCGCCCGTACGAATACTTCGTAGCTTTGGTTCACCTTACGCTGCGGCTGGGTTACTCCGTCCTACTCCATGGTACACTCGATACCTTGTCGAGCCCTCTCCAAGACTCCCCAGGCCCGCCAGGGCCATCTCCCCTCTCCTTCTTTTCTCCATCTTTTGCTCGCAGCCCCTCCACATTGCTGACCCTTACCTCAACGGAGAGGCAAGCTCGTTTGGAGTTTGGATTATGAATCTGCCTTTGCGGTCAGAATCCCGCGGGGTCTCCGCAGACCTTTCCCCACAAGGGACAGTCACATTGAGATGAACGCGGTCCGCTAGATGAAATTCCTTAAGAACAAGGTCGCCTCGCCTCTCTGTCGTGTGCCCTTAGTCTGGCTTCCCTATCCCATCCCTCGTCGACTGTCTGTTCTCATTCTTACCGTGCGGACATACTCTCAGGCTGAACCTTCACCCGTCACCTGAAGAATTCGGATCACAGCCGTGCGTGCGCCCACAAACATCAGTCCTGATAATGGGTGCAAACTACTTCGGCCAGACAGGCAATGCCCTGAGCGTTATCCAGATCGCTCTCGTCGTCTGCCCGGCCTTTATCCTCTTCGGATACAACCAGGCTGGCCTCGGTGGCCTCCTGACTACTGAGGACTGGGTCAAGACCTTCCCTCAGATCGATACCGTCAACACCACCGGCGAGACCAAGAACGCCAACTCAACCCTCCAGGGTTTCGTCGTTGCTACTTTTACTATTGGTGCCCTCTTTGGCTCTCTCTCATGCTCCTGGTCTGGTAACGCTTTCGGACGACGCAATGTCATCTTCTTCGCCGGTGTCTGCACTCTCATCGGAGAGATCCTCGAGTGTGCTTCCTTCCACCTGGCACAGCTTATCGTCGGTCGCCTCATCGTTGGTCTCGGAGTTGGCCAGCTCAGCTCTATTGTGCCCGTGTGGCAGAGTGAGACCTCCGGCGCCAAGAACCGTGGTCGCCAGGTCGTCCTGACTGGTCTCTTCACCTGCGTCGGTTACGTCTTGGAGAGCTGGATTAACCTTGGTTTCTGGGAGTTCAAGACTGGCCCCGTCACATGGCGTCCTCCTATCGCGATTGCCATTCTCTTCTCCTTGATGCTGATGGGTAGCATCTACTTCCTTCCCGAGTCGCCCAGATGGCTCGTCATGAAGGCTCGCTCTGCCGAGGCCCGTTCCATCATCGCTGCTTTCCGTGGCCTGCCTGAGGACTCCCTTGAAGTCCAGGCCGAGGTTGCTGGTATCGAGCACTCTCTCGAGGAGACTACGCAGAACGCCGCCAAGCTCTCCGACATGCTCAAGATGGGCGATGACAAGCTCGCCTACCGATTCGGACTCTGCATCCTGCTCCAGTTCTACCAGCAGATGTCGGGAAGCAACCTCGTTTCCGTCTACGCTCCCATCCTGTTCCAGCAGAACTTGGGTATGGAGCCCGAGCAGTCCAAGGCCCTCGCTGGTGGTGCTCTGACCTGGAAGTTCCTCTCGTCATTCCTGGCCTTCTTCGCCATTGATCGATTCGGTCGCCGTGCTGTCTTCATCTTCAGCGGTTTCGGAATGGCTGCCTGCATGACCTGCTTGGCCATCACCACATCCTTCCCCAAGGACAACACTGCTGCCCAGATCGCCGCTGGTTGCTTCATCTACCTGTTCAACACCTTCGTGCCTATCGGCTTCTTGGGTGCCAACTTCCTGTACTGCACCGAGATTGCGCCCATCCGTCTCCGCATGGCCATGTCTTCCATCTCTACTGCCAACCACTGGCTCTGGTAAGTCGCAACTATGTTTCTCGTTCTCCATCATCTCTTCTTACTAACGGTTGCCCAGGAACTTCATTGTTGTCATGGTCACCCCCGTTGCCCTCAACACGATCGGCTACCAATATTACATTGTCTACGCCGTCATCTCGGCCTGCATTCCCGTCAGCGTCTACTTCCTCTTCCCCGAGACTATGGGCCGCAACTTGGAGGAGATCGAAATGCTGTTCAAGGACTCTCCTTCCGTGTTTGCCACGGTCAAGTTTGCCAAGAACCGGCCTATCGCTATGCCCCAGGAGTTCGAGAGCGACAAGCCATCACAGAAGGCCGACTATGTTGAGAAGCAGACCGATGACTCTGCGTAATGTGGAATCGAAGGATATTACGGCCGGGAATTTGCAGGATGGACACTACAGGAACAGTTCAGCATTAGCAAGCGGAAGTCTTTTTTTAGCGAAATGAATCAATCGTCATGATCTTGGTATCTGCGAATACCACACCCAATTACTGTTACTCTTTCCCTGATTATACGTGAATATGCCCCAGCCTCAAAGGCGATCTTAATAATTCATTGAACCACCCACTACAGAATCAAATGAGGAATAATCGAGACTGCCGACAGAATGACGAAGCCAGTCGGCAGTGGTGCAAGAGTGGCGTTCGTGTTCCCTTGAACGTTGTTGTGTTGGTTGTTATTCCCGGGCCCACTCAAAGATTGCCCTTCCTCTCCAGCTTACCTTTCCTGGGACTTGAAAGCAAGGCAGATGCAGCTCACCTAGGTAGACACTGACATCACCCCATCGCGTGTCGTTCAGGTGACTCGTACCCAGTGCGAAGTCTTTAAGCCGGGAAAGATACTATCACTGGCGTTCGCTGTGACTGTGTTGTTGATGAGGGGGTGGGCCGGTGAGAGACAGTGCTGAGCGCTCATGATGCGTATGTGAGAATGGCGAATAAACCCCGAACGAAGGCCAGCCTTGGTCGAATGCTTTTTGAAATCAAAAGAGGGGCGGATGAAAAAACTCAATTGAGTTTTCCGTAAACCTCGTCGCGTCAAGCAAGACCAACCACATCAGCGTGTTCATGTGGGAGAGTCAATAGTGCTTATCTATGCATATTGGATGCCCTTGATCTTGTGAGATTGCAGAGGTCAGACGCGTACCTGTCCGGGCCGCATCTGATAGTGGTCACCAACATTTCCCTGGTCTTACTTGCAGGTACACTAAGCCCCAATCTGGCAGGAAACACAGGCTCGGACGTAACATCAACAGGGCTGATATGCTGGGGTAAGACCGCTGTGCCTACTGGAGTGCTATCCTCCAGTTGGCCATGGGACGATCGAGGCCTCTGCCGCCTGTTGGCCGCAGAATATTAATCACCGCGACATCATTTAAGCTTGCAACGGACGACCTGTCAGCGACGCAATGCAACAGCAATGCAGCATCTCGTATTCGTCTATGTCTTGGCAGCCTCTGCACCGTTGGGGTGCGATAAGTTTCAGGGCTTATTATATCGAGCCTCCGCGCTCTCCGGGTAGAGGGTAATTCGGGTCTTTGCAGGTAGACTTCACTTTTCAGACATTTGCTTGATTAAATCCAGCGACAAGATGCTTGGCTCAATTCTCAAGACTGTGCTATCGGCTGCGGCTGTCGTATCAGCGTGCACCCCTCCGACGGAACCTCCCTCGAACAACATCACCGAGGGTTTCGGAATCCAGGTTCAGAACGCTTCGGTGCCCATCATTCACAATCGCTACATCAACTTGTGGTCAGCAGGCGGTGGTGACCAGCATCTCTATTTGAGCCCAGCTGGAGACTCTGCTTTCAACTTGACCCTAGTCAACGGCGTGCTGTCGAGGGGCATCATCCATGCCGTCATTAACGGAGAAGTAAGTTGATCGATCGCAGTTTGGCGTTGGCGTTGGCGTTTTATTGACACTTCGTAGTACACCGCAGACGACAACACGACCAAGATGTTCATGACGGAACGTGGAGACCCCAAGGCCTTCTTCCAGCCGGTGTATGGATGCAACCCAGACACGGATGCTGTGCAGGTCGAGTTGGACTTTGTTTCCAGAGCCGCCGTGCCAGGTGGTTTTATCTGCTTCAGAAGTGCTTCCGGCGAGAGGCACGAGGCCAGATACTCTCCTCCCGGTAACACTGGTGAGTTTCTGGCTTCCTATCCTTCGATCTATGATTCTCCTCATACCAAGCCTTTTTCTATGATATCGAAGCTAACTAAATATCTTAACCCAGTCGTCAGAGCAGACCGTCCTTGCTACGAGGTAACCTTGGCTGTGGTTCCTGCCCCGACAGCTTGAGAGGAACTGAACGCGATTGTGACCACGTTAGGAAGAGAACCATGTAGTTCGTATAAGAATGTAGCACATCTTAGTCGATGACTGTTCAAGTAATTTCAGAACTTTTCAAATCGCAACGACCTGATATTCGAGTCTGTGATGTCTCCGAATAGAGAATTGCTCCTCCATGATTCAATGACTCCAGCTCAAAGTTGTTGACCAGAAGTGCGCAACGTATCCCATCGGGTGCTTGATAGCGTCAGCATATCTCTACTTGGAATAATAGCAAATTTGGAATTATTCCTTTCAATCCATACTGTTGCCGTTCTAATCCTTTTCGATACGCCTAATTGGAAAATTCGAAAAGAGATCAGCGTTAGGGAAAATAGAAGGTCAATGTACTGACGCTATCCAGCATGTTGAAATAAGTCCACAAATCAATCCTTGTGAACTATGACGGCAGGTACTAAAAACTTCGGATTGATATTCTTGAGTGTCAATCCAACTTTGGGTTAAGTACTAATTCATATGGCTTAGTGGTAACTGGCTGGCACCTATTATGAAGCTTGATGTACTGTTTACTCACGTGAAACATGCACGCTGAAAGCGCTGCGGAATCCTTGCCGAGGTCCAACTCGCTTGTTTGGTAGCGACCTTTGGACTTCTAGGTAGCAACTCATCGCCAATTTCGCGTTCAATACACAACAGCAACGCCTGTGCCTTTACTACTCTACAAAAGGAGCTTTGTTTCATCATGAGTCGAAACCAGATTGACGGAAACTTACCGGAGACGGTCGCTGAACTAGAGGCCCTCCCTTGGTGTCGCGCACTCCTCAAAAACCCGTCAGTCGTCACTTTCATTCCGCCATCCCGGGTACCAGAAAACGCCAACCCACACGACAGGTTCTTCGGTAAAACACTCAATAACTCGACCGGTATACCAGCTTGTATCAGCTTTCACACCGAGGCCCCGGGTCGATCTGTCATCACCGAACTATCGTCCCTATTCGCGCTTTCAAGAGGGGTTGATGGCTATCCCAACATCGCGCACGGTGGCATGACTGCAGTTTTGATCGACGAGGTCCTTGGCGTCTTGATTCAGAGGAACATGGACACGGAGAGGGACGACCCGATCTTCAAGATGAACACAGTCACTTCTTCGATGAACATCAAATACCTCAAACCCATCAAAACGCCTAGTGTTGTGCTAGGAACCGGGCAAATCAAGGAAATCCGTGGAAAAAAGATCCTACTCAAAGCTGTCCTCAAAGACGCGGATGGTATGGAGCTAGTGATCTGCGACTCAATATGGATCGGGATTCCCAGAGTCAAGATGTAATATTCTATCGAAAAGAATTGGAGACTCGGAGAGACATCTAAATACACTTGCGCCATTGAGGGATCGGTCTACACAACTTCAGGCCACATTCATTTCTTGGAAGTTATTCGAACCTTGACGGGGCTTTGTATCTGCAGACATGATAGTCCACATGACTGTGAGATAGTTTTAGTTTCTTTCAAAGAGAGGCACATGTTAAGCTTCTAGCTTTTGAACCTCCATAAGTATGCACAAATTCATTTGAATTTCGAACTTGTAGATCCCCGTTCCCTGACATCGCACCGCGACTCTTTGTAAGTTCAAGCCTTCCAAGCAGTTTCCAGGATTTCCTTCACAGTCCAAGCCTTAATGTCAGGGAAGATCTGGTTAAGTGTTCTCTTTCCAGCCGGGGGGATATCGAAGCTTCCATTCTCGAACCAGAGACCAAATACCGAGGCCATGCCCTGGTATGCTTCTTTGGGAAAGAATTGATATGCAGGCACTTGGCTGGGAAGTTCTGTCGTCTGGCCAGTCTTGAGTTTCTCAACGCTGTCATACGCAACGTTGAATTTGGTGCCTGTTTGTATCGTGAGTTAGCCTGGGACCGTGCCTCCTTGAGTTGTGCATCCAATATGAAAGTACCTTTGGCAGCTTCCGCAAGCTGAACAAACTGGTTAAAAGTAACCTTGTCGCCAACGATGAAAGTGTCAGGCTCCCACTTGTCCAAGTCCAGGGCAGCCGCTACAAACTTCCCCACATCTTTAGTGTGAGTGAAGGCTGAAGGCGTGTTTCCCGAGCCCGGGATAGCTGCGGCATTGCCTGGAATATCGATAAAGAGTGTAAAAGGGCTCATATACGAGGGGACAATAGGTGTCGCCCAGTAGTCAAGGAAGAAGCCGTTGTGGACGACGGTGTACTCGAGATCCTTGGTCTCTTTCAAGAGAGCGGCGGCGCGAAGTTTGTTGGGCACAGAACCCAGTTGGCTGCCTTGACTTCATTGATAGTTAGTATCAGGGTGCAATTCTGAAACTCTGGATATCATCCGCGTTCGATCTAAACTAACCTCTCGTTGTGAGGGACGCCCCATCCGCTAGAAATCATTCTCTTGGTCGATGCTGATGCGTCGGCGGCGCGAATTAGCTCAAACTCAAGGGGAGTCTCTCCTGGTGGCGGCATCATGTTGATAGCTGAAATGACCGTATGGACATTGTGCTCCTCCAAAATCTTGGTAGTCGCTCCTACATCGGCGTAGTCAACTACGACGATCGAAGCTCCGAGTTTCTTTTCCAACTCGGGGTTTGCCTAAAGAAATAAATTAGTACTAATTCTAGTAGAATGACGATTCCTTAGCATTGTGCCCTACCTTTCTTGCGAGAATTTTGACCTCATGCTTGCCAGTGGCCACGATTGCCTCGACCAAAGTTCGGCCCACGTTTCCGGTGCCTCCGGCAACTGCAATGACTGCCATTTTTGCGTGTGGTGCTTTCGGAACACAAGACTAGATGAAAGTTTTCAAAGTAATCATGCGAGTGAGTAAAGGTAGAGTTGCTGTCTGATTGATAGCTCTACGATAATAATCATGGCCGTGGTGGCACTGGCTCTTATAGAGGTCCATCATTTATTCTACGAGCACACAATTGCAGTCCCATCAATACCCCGCTAGTAGTTAGCGGAGTTTGTAGTGGTGTATCCCTATCCATATCCCCTCATTATCCTGGCGGCGGAAGCAAACAAGGTTTTCGGACTTTGTATTCGTAAAGGCGGATTCAATCGACACAGTTGTTAACTTATCGTGGACGTGGTGGAGTTAAATATTCGTACTTCGTACCCCGTACTGAATCCCATCCAGATATCTCGGTAACAATTTGCTTCCGTGAAGCCATTGAAGGATCCATAAGTCTAGTGTGCAGACTCCAGAGTGCCCAAAGCGGTTGTGTCCCCATACGGCATAGATTACTTGCGGAAAGTTCCCTTTGCGGCGGTTTAACTGAGTCGGACCTGAGCAGCCTCCTTACCTAACCCTTTAGCACGGATGCATTTTACTTCCGGAAATTACGTGACCGGGCCAATCATGAAACTACTTCCTCTTCCTCTCTCATCTACTGTGAAAGTTTTCCTGCATTTTGTCCGATTCGATCCTGGAGCCTTAGTCGGATTCTCAATCTACTTCTCTTTTGCGGACTGCCGGCTGCTATTCGGAGCCGAGGTGTCATTAGCATATCGTAACGCGCCGCCTGGCCGAGTGGGTCGCTCAGTCCGGACTCATTCCCGAAACAGCCGTCCGATTCTCAACTGAACCGTCCGGGGTGTTGGCGGTCCGGTATCCCCACACCCCCGCGCACCGGCGTGGCACACCAACATACATGCTTTGCCATGGACGCTATGGATACTGAGTCCGTCCAGAGCGGACGGACCCAAGACAAAGCTTCTCGCATTGCGAAGGTTTGTGAGACCCTGAGAAGTAAGGACGTTCAACGACAGAGACTTACACGTGGAAACAAAGGCCTGTCTCCGATGCCAATCGAAGAAGATCAAATGCGATGGAAGGACTCCATCATGTACACCTTGCGTCAATCGCAGTCAGGAGTGCGTGTACCAGCAAGTACAGAGGCGCCGTGGACCTGGTCGAAGGTACGATCATCTCGTAGCCTGCTCACTTACATGACTCTTGCCTTTCTCAATTGAATATTGAAATTGACTTGAATATCAAAGCAAAATGTACATCCAAGCTTTAGAAGAACGACTATCCAAAATGGAAGCCGTGCTCAATCAAGCTGGGCTTCCAAGACCAGGAGCACCGCCGACAAGAATATCGCCGTCAGAAACTGATGCCGCCTCCGTCTCCGTGTTTGCAGGCCCGGCCATACCAAACAGCACAGTCCCGATAACGAACCACCGACTTGATGCGCCGCAAGCTGCAGCCAGTCATGTTCCGTCAGATCATCCCATGGGTGATGAAGCGGTATTGTCGGCGCCTAATTCAAGAAGCAGTCAGACACCCGTCCCTCAGCCTCGAGAGATCCCCGAACCGCCGTCACAACTTTCGGGGAAGATGCCAGTTTTTGCCGTAATTGCAAGCCGTATGAGAGAGGTCAATTCCGCCTCTTACTGCTCTACATTCAACAGACAAGTCTTCACTCCTCGACTCGAAAGGGAGGAAGCCATCACTATTTTGATGCCTCTGTACGACGACGTCATCAGCAATTACCCGCTTTTGAACTTTCATTACTTCGTGCGTCATTTCGAAACATTACCGGAAGCGGATGACACTTTCAATAGTACGTCGGGATGGGCATACATGAACGCCGTCATCTCTGTAGGGACGCGGTGGAAAACCATCAACAGCGCGTTCCAAGAAGTTTGTCAACTTGCCTGGCCTTTCTTCAAAAATGCATTTTCTGTCCTGACAGAGCTGATGGTGAAGGGTGGCGACTTGCTCTCTGTACAGGCCATTGTCGCCATGGCGGTTTTCATGCAAGGAACTACATGCACCAGAACTGCGACTCTGCTATCTTCTGCGGCAGTGAGACTGTCTCAAAACATCGGGCTACATCGGCAGCCTTGTACAATGATGTCCATGTGTGCTCAGGATGTTGAAGCACGGAGTCGGGTGTTCTGGGCGGCCTACATACTGGATAAAGAAACGGGTCTCAACCATGGCCTGGATTCGATACAAGACGATGACGACATTGAGACTGAATTGCCCAGCGGTTGGGGAGAAGGTGTTGACATATTGAACCTCAGAGCGAAGCTTGCGATGGTAGAGTCTTCAATCCGAAGACGATTGTACACGGCGAAAGGACTCCGCCTTACCGACGCCGATCTGGTTAAGGCCATCATCGATTTAGATGCTCTCCTTGAAGAGTGGAGATCAAGTATGCCCGCAAACCTCCAGCCATCATATGAAGCCCCTGCATTGGGGTCAGACATTGCACCAGACATCCTCAACCTGCAGTTGGCATTCTATAGGTGCACAATGATGGTCCACTGGGCGGCTAGACGGCATGACCAATACTCGACTGTAGCTGTTCTCATGGGAACGCCCGCTGGTTTCGAAATGCCCTACATTCAGCTGTCCTTTTCGCAGAAGCGATGCCGCATGGCGGCGCACGCGACCTTGGGATTATTCAGGACCATTTCAACGCCCCAATATGCAGACCTATGGTAAGTCTCCGCGCACGAAGCTGTCACCCTTGGTCTGAGACACTCGACTCACATTTGCAGGCGAATCTTGTGCTACCCCCTTTGCGCAAGCATTACTCTTTTGACGGATGTGCTCGAGACTCCAGGCTCTGCTCGTGCTCGAGGGGACTTAGCAGCAACAAGGAATTTCGCCCATTTCCTTCAAAAGTTTGAAAAATCTGAAGGTTGCGACTTGAAGCGTGTCTTGACGGCGTGCGCCATGATGCAACGGACAGCGCAATATGCCGTCGATGATGCCCAGAATATAATGCGCGCCCAGAATTTGGTCGGCAACAACGGCGGTGGTGTGCCACTCATCCCGGGTTTTAGTCTCGGTGAAGATGCACAGGTGAGACATGATCTGAAGTGCGAGCTTTGAAGCCACGACCACAGACTAACGTTTCTTTTCTTTTGATACTCAGGTTTTGCAATCTTTGCTCGGCACGGCAACACATCCGATGTATCTCGTCCAAGGACTGATGGGGAACTTGCCCAACCGAGACCAGAATCTCACAATGAGGCTTGCGCAACTTCTTGGTACTCCCTTTGAGAGTGGCAAGCCTGGTAGCCCACTCGGATCTCAACCTTTACAACCGGAGACGTACGGTTTTGGGTTTGGTCAAGGCCAGGCTGGTAATGACCCGACGGCCAACTGGTCTTGAGATTGGTAAATTTCGCCCAGCAGACTGGAGCAGACCCATGCTGCACGAGTTTACCACATTGAACGATGGGAATTATCCGGAGCTATACGTGCTCGCTTCGGAAAATGAAAGGTGCCTGAGAGATGCCGAGACACTGTTGCACAACCATCAGGGACTTGAGCTGAGCTAGTCTACCGGCGTTCCATCAGGCAAGGGTCCGGAATCTTAGATGGGAATTGAGGCCAAGATGTGGCTGTTATTTTATATACGTCCCGCGCCGCAGACTTTCTTAAGTGTGTGCCCGGGTACGAGCCTGATGTTGAACCTCGGTTGACTTCTGATCAGTACATATTCGCATTTTGCCCTCGAGTTGCGCTTCTTGCGAAACTTGCGACGTAAAGCTCTCAGTAGCTTTCTATTAGACAATGCATTTTATGATCATGTATCACTGCATAATTTGCAACAATCATTAAGATAGCATGAAAAACAAGTTGACCAAGCCGTCTTAATCTCTTAGATAACCCAAAAGCCAAGTGTCTCTGCCAAGTTGCGGGCTGCCGTCAGCCGCCACAGCATCCCAACGTCGGGGTGTAAGGGCCTCTTCCGGTCACTGTGCGGCGTGCCTTATCGTCGACGGCCCATCATTTCTTCAATATCATACAAAAATTCTTTCCAAGGCGAGCCAGAGCCCCTTGGCACACGATTTTCTCCTATGAGGAGGCGGATCGGCCACACAATTTCGGCTTCTTGCCGCCTCGGCTTGACTTGTTTTAAGCCTAATCGCAGGGCAAACGCCACGTCACCTCATCTTCCTAGGGAGCAAGCAATTCAGCAAGGAATATCTGTGAATGAGATAAATTTCACTTTGCCTGATGTCTTGCATGCGTACTGTATCAATATCATATCAGACTGATCGCAACCCGGGTTGACTGGTTCGATAAAGAGGCCCCTCTTCTTCATTTCTCCCCATCAAGCGTTTAGTCCAGTTGCGTTCTTATTAGCTTGGACTCTTTACACACTCTCTTTACACTTGCCTGGACTTTCGATCATTCCTAACAATCTTTCTCAGCAAGTATCCCGGAATGTCGGTCCTCAAGGATGTAGCATTTGGCATCATGGCGTGGACGAGGACGCCGCGCAACCAGACCTACAGAAAGCTCAACGCCGAGATTGATGCTGAAGCATTACGATCCCCCAGGTCATATGATAAGCAAAGCTCCTCAAATAGACTCCATAGGACGTCCCCTAAGGCTTTGGTAAAGCTTATTGTTCCTGTCATCCTTTTCTCTGGACTACTATTTGCCGTTGTTAGTATCCCTCTGCCTCGCCAGGTGACAGCACAAGCCCTGACACATACAGAGTCACACAGATATCACACAATACATACCCGATTCGACCAGAGACGCACTATCATCGTTGCCGCCTGTGGAGAAAGGTGGTCAGCGACGTCTCAGAATCATCGTGCCGGCCGATGGTCCATCTCCAGGATTGTGCAAGATGCTCATGTCGGGTGTTGCATCCGGCTATCCCAGCTCGGTCATTGTGAACTGGGGCCGCGACTTTCAAAAGTCTCCTGGATGGTTCGGAGGCTCTCATCTTGGCAAGATCGATGGCACCCTCGAGTTTCTTGATTCAATCACTTCTGAAGAAGCCCCAGACGATGAACGCCTTGGACCAGATGACCTCATTCTCCTCGTCGACGCCTACGATGTCTGGTTTCAGCTGCCGCCATCCGTCCTTATTCGACGATATATGGCGCAGAATTACGCTGCAGACGAACGCATTCGAAAGGAGTGGATAGGAAGCCCTTCTCGGTTCTCGTCAAACTCAGGAAACAATCTCATACCGCGGCAGACTATCATCATCTCGACCCAGAAGAAATGCTGGCCCGATGCTAGTCTTGGCTCTGACCCCCACTGCGACGATCTTCCCGAGTCTAGTGCACGGGAGGACATGTACGGGCCCCATACGGACGAAGATCCTAAGCAAATGCACGACCTCCGCCCACGGTATGTCAACAGCGGCAGTCTTATGGGCCCCGTCGGAGATATGAAGCGTATGTTCCGTCGTGCCCAAGAGAAAGTCGATGAAAAACAGTCTGCCGGTGCAGGTATATTCAGCGACCAAGGTATTTTTGCGGAGATCTTCGGCGAGCAAGAGATTTGGCGGACTTCTAAGCGGCAAAACCACGATGAATGGGTGAAACTCCAAGCTGATCAGCCTGAAAAGTCTGCTCAGGAACTTCAGCAAAATGACTTCAGTGTCGGTCTAGACTATATCCAAGACCTTTTCACCCCTACCGTTTTCGAAGAAGATGATGGGCTATACATTGCGTCGTCAGATGGTCCTGGACTCCGACAAGCCGCGGCCGATAGAGGCATTGATCCACCAAGGGTAGCTGGCATCCCAGGAGACATGCTTGGTTTACGCAGTCCTATCCAAGAGACTGCCATTGACAAGAATATGGGATGGCAAGATCTTCCGCTTTACACCGATTTCTGGAGTACTTCAGTGCCAGTTGTGGTACACCATAATGCCCATCGTAATGGCTTAAAAGGCCAGAGACTGCGCAATTGGTGGAAGAACAACTGGTTCTTTCCTTATCTCCGAAGTTTATTAAAGCTGCACTCAAAACCACGAGAGGCCCTGGAGCCGCTGCTCAGAGTTCCGGGTCGCAATGGAGTGGAAGACTTGGTTTACACAGCACCGGCATCAGATGCTCGGAAGAGGAAGCCTCGCATCTTCAAGAAACAGGATCTCAAAGAACAAGGGTTGGCAGAAGCAGACTGGGACAGTCTGTGTAAGTCTGAGGGTCATGACGAGTGGTGGAACGATGTTTTGCAGGACGGTGACGGACCTCTCTAGGTCAAAGGGTCGATGTGCTGTACGATATTACTTTCATTCCAATTGCATTTTCCGATACAATTTCTTCAACGAATGTACATAGTTCCGAATCATTACACCTTGCTTTAGCATTCAATTGAGTTCGTGCTGTTATCAGCAATGAATTGATCTGAGGGGGAAGACACATGGACAAGCAGGGATACTCAATCATCTTGATTGCTATTCTCTTACCTCTTCATCTCGTCACAGATATTTCGCCACACTTTCACTCCAATGATCGATGATACCATGTTGACTGACAAGCTGTGGACAACGAGATACACATGACGCCCTGACAGATTCATGTTCTATATGAATTGAGCTGGACTCGGGGAGAGGTTCAGTTTACAAAAATGATATCACGTTTTTTTTTTTTTTTTCTTTTTTTTTGCTTCACAGTCTTCAACTTACTTCATTGGCTCCAGTTTGTAATTTCAGATCAATCTCCACGGCATCAGGAGCGTTCCACTCCCATGCACGATTGATACGAGGAAGAAATACGTCTTGGCAGCATGTGTATGGCTTTAGGCTAGACCCAAAACATAGCCTGCATCCTCGGGCCCGAGGCCACGAGCCATGGCAGACCGTTAGAGGCCGCGTCAGCTCTCCCCATCAACAAAGAAATGGATCGATAAAGTATAGAGCTAGGTCTGTCACTCTGACTTTGATTCTCATACCAGCGGCTAGCCTCTTTCAAGTTTGACAAGGCTACCTCCATCCACTGTCAGAAACTGTGTCTCGTCGAGCCCCTTTCATATAGCATTTAAAAACAATGTTCTTACCCCAAACACTACTTGTACGTCTCTGTACTTCCTTGAGTACGTCAGGGTCCACTTTGTTAGACAATGCCTAGTAATCATTGTCACGAGGCCTCATGGCCACGGACCACAGACCCTCAAAAGCATCTCCAACCAGGGTTTTTGAAGTGCGGAGAGCCATATCCCAGGAATTCTGAATCCTCATTGATATCCAAGCCGGTTCAATCCACTAAATCATAGTTCCTGTATGGCTGTGGAACTGAAGACGGATTCGGCGATCGGCAGGGAGGGAACACGAGCTCTGGGTGCTATTTTGAGACGGCCAGGCAGCAGCATTTAGAGCGCTACATTTCCCCGAAGGATTCGACTGCCAAAACGGGGAACGGGCTCATAGTAACGAATGAGGCAACCTTGTTGGCACAGGTCTATTTTGCTGGCCAACAGTGTCTCTGCCACGATGTAATTGGTTCCTATTGATAATGCCGGACAACATGGCTGGTAGAGCCTTAACAATGACTTACAGCGATGCATTCGGCGATATGCAGCTGACGTCTGGTAGACTACAGATGGCAGGTTCCGAGTTTCATCAAAGGAACTATCCCACAGCTGCCGTGATTATTGGTCAACGGGGTTGATATCCGTTGGTTAGGTTCCATGTTATTCGAGTGTGTGTTCCATGTCTATATGAATGCCTTTTTCCCGGGCCCTTGATGATAACTCCTCATCAGTTATCTCATCCAATCTCAACCGAATACAATACTCTTTTTAGTTGCAATCCCAGGCATGAGCAAAAGTGAATTTGGTAAGATATATCATCTCTAGGCAGTTTCCACGACTGAGGCTAATTGGGACCATTAGAAACGATGTCGAACGCTCCCGAAGATTTCAGTATCCGATCTCCAGTTCCTCAATACCAAGCAATGCATACTCCCGCGTCAACTGCCATCGGCAGCCATGATATCGCCGGACCTAATGTCAAATACTGTCACGTTGTCCACTGCAACCATGGCGAATCTCTTGGTGAAGGCTCCCGGGCAAACGTCGTGCCTGTTGCCCTCGTTGAGAGATGGCCTGCCTTGATCGAGTGCCCTGCTTGCAAGGGCGTCACTCCCACTACAACGGACCATACCATTGGCAAAGGAGCGCAGTACGTCGTTCCCATGTCGTGCATCTCATAATTACTTGAAACTTTTGACTGATACTTTTATTTCTGTAGCTGGATGGCCGTCATGCTGTTTTTCACCACTGGTGTTGGCGTATTCGCTCCGTATGCCATGAGGCCTTTTAAGGACGTCGTTCACAGCTGCCAGCGATGCGGACGAAAGGTAGCGACTCGGCGATTCGGCGGTGGCACTAAGGCGCACCTTATGTGAAGTGGAA